ACTGTCTGACGAGTCTGTCTCCGCACCCAAAAGGAGAAGCGGTCAAGGAAGATGAAGAAGATCGACGAAGGCGAAAAATACATTTAGTTGGGCCAGGAGATCAACATGTGGCACGATCAGGATCACGAGAGATTCAACGAAGAAAGAGGGTCAGTACGCGTATTCATTTCCAGGACGTCCGTTTAGGCAACAAAAAACACGTCACTTATTTAATTGTATTGTTGCCGGCAATGTGTGGCTGAGATGTGGTCACTCTCAATATCCATCATCGACAGAGCCATGGAAAAAATAATGCTGGAAATTTTACGTCACGACTACTTCCCCAACACAGTGACCAGACAGCGAGTGAAAGTGAGAGACGTTGTCGTATAACGCAGAAAGGTGAAGCGGGAGTGGGACAAAGCTCGTAACTCGGCTCATCGACGACACATGACCGGCGTTGATAATCGAATCGTACTGTCACGACGATGATAAAGTTACATCCGATGCCTTTAAGGCCGCGGGAAATGGGTGTTGAGACCAGCGCGATTCGTCGTGGGTCCAATTACAGTGATTTGTAACTTTCTGAAAGTATATCCATGTTGAGCCAAGCATACAGCTGTAATTTCTAGCCATGATTCTTTCTCCGAGCATATTAAAGCAACAACCAAGTGGAGGACTTTTCAATGTTAAATGCATGATATGAAACAATTTAAGAAAAATTTTAAAATTCTACTGATTACTCGTCATCGCTACCATGACCTGTCCGAGCTACATAAATTATATTCAATCAGTGAATGTGACTTACTGTTCAAAATGTTAAAGTAAATTCTTCTAATGGGAATATAATAGCAACTACGATAAAATCCTATGCTTCTGACAATTTTGTTGTCATACAAGTCAAAATTTAACCATTCGTTCTGAACATGTTTTCTGATAATCATTGGAGAATAAGTTATGCAGAAGATATAAAGTTAATGACAAAAGCGAGAAATCAGAAAATATGTTCCTTTTGAGATAAAGACATGAATCCAAGATTTAGTCAATATAATTATGCCATCCTCTATAAGTCTCAAAAACTACCGTCGGGCGAGGCGTGCTGTTTTCTTCCATTTCTTGATATTCATCAGTAATGATAACTTTCCATTCATATTGCCCGTCTTGATCTGGTATCCTAAAAAAAGATTTAACTATGTTTTTTAGAAATAAATGTTGCAAGATTAATACATGATGTATCTTGTAGTCTGTCGTACAGAATTCTCGCCACTTTGCAGTCAGGAGGATCATCGTTACCATGTCAACAACTACAAACCTAAATCGAAACTATGTAATACGAGTTGAAAAATTTAATGCTGCTAATGAATGGAAAAAAATCAGAAAAAAATTTTCAACAGAGAATTCAGTCTCATTACAGCATTTAATTCATCATCAGTGCACCTTTAATTTTCAAGCAAATGCTACATGAGAAACTTGAGGCTTGTTCACGATTGAAATTTAGCAACGACACCTATTTTAAATCAGGCTTAAGAATAGCGAAAGACACTATTCCAAGATTTTCAGTCATGGAATCATGTCTTCGTCTAAAACAATGCTAAAGATATGATACTGAACATTACTCGAACTTTATAACTCAGTATTTCAAGACATACCATCAGAGAAATACGCAAACTTCATAAGGGTTCCAATGAACTGCTTTGCACGGTTTATTTCATTTCATGGGATTTATGGTCTTTCAATTGTAGCAGTCACTGTTAACAACAGATGCAAAAACGTTTTAGGAGGACAAATGATGCTACAGCGTATTTTTCATCGCCTTGGGCGCTAGTCCCGAATTTCTTGAAGCCATGGTCGTGGAAATAAGCGAATACATAAGTTTGCTGCTCTTTGTTGTTTCTGTCCACTTTTTTGCTGATCATCATTAGGCACCGCAGAGTTCAGCAATACAACGGTAATTAGTACACGACAGCCTGAAAACAAAACAATTAATACTACAGCGTAATTTTATAAAACTGCCAGCAAGTATTAGTAGGACAATTCGTTTTTACACAAGCGGTACCTCTTTTGTAATCATTAATGAAGCAGTTAAAATGAACACCGAATAATCTTTCGAATACGCCTAAAACCTAATGAAAATTTATTTAGGAAAGAGTACTTAATCATTTCTTTAATCACGTGACACCAATTCATACAAGGCAAAAACACTCCATGCCAACAATCATCTTGAGCTTATTAACATACCTAACGTAAGCGTATAAGGATAAAATCATTGTAAAATATGTTGAGCTACTGTTCACATACTTTGTCAGATACGGCCGCTAATGGACGTAATTTCAAACAAACAAAAAACTGCTAAGCAATTATGCATCTACTAATACTATGTAAGAGATAACAGATGAGAAGCAAAAAAAAGGGCAAAAGAAAATGAAAGAATGATTCAAGAACCTATTAAAAGCCGTTTCCGGGTTTTGAATAAGGACGTGATTTATTTTATTCCTTCAGACAACAAATTGCCAAGATCCGAGTCAAAATGAATATTGTCGGATGTGCGTAAAAACTCGTTCAGTGCGCAATTCTTAGAAGTTTTAATATGAAACTGAAGAAAGGACTTGCTGAAAAAATTAAACGAATTTCGTTACAAAAACAAATAATGCTTAAAAATCGTTAATTTATAAAGTCAACATTTTAAATTAGAGGTTCTTTCATCAACAACGAGAAATGTTGGCGGGTCTACTGTTAGAACAAAAACACACGAAAATTAGTTTTTAGCACGAAACTCGGTGAGATATATAGAAATTTAATTTAAAAAGTTAAAACAAATGAAGCTATGAAGAACAAAGGTACATTCAAAAAATCTACATTATATAAAGTGTGAATAAAGAATTCTAGATCGTCCTTGCCAATCTACCACTTTAAAACATGAATAAAAACTAATCTGCCAAAGCACAAACTGAACAAACCAAGTTTATTTACACTGACAAAGAAGTTTAGGCCAAAAAAGGCAAGAGCTCAAACGATGTATGGATTAGCTGTCATAAGCTGGCCTCGTTTAATCTGATCTTTTAAGATCAAGAACGTCACTAAAATATGAATTTTTGATGACCTTCACCAAGAACAATTATAGAGAATTTATTCATATTATATATCTTGCAAATTTTTCGAGTTCCTTCTAGCAACCTCACGTTGAGAAAAGAATAAAAAGAAATTCACACATCCATTATGTGAAGCAACTGGTTAATAAAACAGGTACGCGAGACAAGAAGAAAACGAAGCGAATACGTCTAACTGGAACAACAATTCTTACCGCCAGCACTTCCTTCCACAACTTCAACGGCATACCGAACAGCAATTCGTTGAATAAACATCGGGTAATGCTTCCGCGTGGCTGTTACTTTAATCATCCTCCGCATCTTGACTGTATAGTCTGAATAGTTCAAAACAGAACATTACCAAATTTCAGCCAAGTGGCGTTTATCAACGAATTTGGTATAGTTTTAAATTTTAAACTTCGGTTGATATTTGTGCTTACTTTTAGTAATCCAACACGTCTGGATATAAGGTGTATACGTCAGACCATATTGCTTGAGCATCACCAGTGCAGAACACAGCATTGTTCTTCTGCTGAGAAATGACTCGTTGCTGGTTCCTAAGAGGCACAGTGGAATGAAATCATTTCTCAAATAAATTGGCAGATAATACGGAAAGATTTACTCCTCTCACGTTGTTTCAATTTGGCAACTATATGATACACAGCAAACTACTCGCTAATTACGCCAGAGACCCTTCTTAATTAAGACTATTTCACTTTCGTAATGCTAACATCAAGCTGCTGAAGATTTAAAGACAAAACATTAACGTACTTACCTTTTTATAACTCCTCATACTCACTTCCTCATTAAGACCTGCAATGTGCACCTAATATTTCCACTTTTGAGCGGAGACAGTGCAATTTCAAGCGCCGCAAGATTTTTTTTCATATTAACTGCTGATTACCTTAGTCAAGGAATTCATTCCATTGTGCTTCGGTGCAACCAGCCCAACAGCAGATTGCAAGCCGCTGACCATTCGGTGTGGAGAGGATTGTATTGTATTTTAATGTGCCATTTCAAAGCTTGCGAGATACACTCCATGATCTCTGATGTACGTGCCATTGGGCAGAAACTCACCTTGACCCACCTAATAGCTAGCTAAAACTCGAGATAAGTTATAAAAGTAAATTATGTTGAAATTTGAAAAACATTTCGGCACAAGATGCGACTAATGAAAAATCGTTTTTTAAAGTGGAGATTTTTTGGCTGTGGAGAAAATTTGTTCACGGTTTTCCAAGAAATAATAGTGACAAAACTTATAATGAAATTTGAAAAGTTTTAAGTATCTATATGTAGCTTCATGAATTGTAAATTGGAAGACAAGAAAATAAAAATTATGATAACACGCATTCAGGGCGTTCACTTTGCACATTAATAAGCGGCCATGGATAAGTGATAGAAAGATAAGTGTTTGGTGTGCATCAAACATATGGATTTGTTGGGGTAATTTTTTAAATGCCACCAGAGCTTGTCAAGTAGTAAATGTCATTGAAAATTAAGTTCTCAAGTGGATCGGAAAGTGGGTTTTCGATTAAAATTTACAAACAGTTTATTTAAAGTAATTTTTTAGAAATAAATATATCACTGTTGGTATATCGCTATCACCTTAGCTTAAGGAAAGTGCTTGGTAAGATATTTGCGTATGTTTCTCGCTTTCAGTTGTACACTCAGGTATAGGTTGAACTTGTTATCAGACCGTTACTTGTACCTGCAAACATGTATTTTTCTTGAGGTTACGATATAGTGTTTAAACATATCTACCGAGCTTTGATATCGTAAAATGACGAAGAAAAAGGTTGTTCGACCGAGGTGTTTTTTCGATATTGCAGTTGATGGAGT